CCAATATTATAAAGCTAATTACGATCAAATACGAAAACGAATAGCAGATATTGAGTGGGACCAGGAACTGTCGTGTACATTGTCTGTTGATGAGGCTACAGATAGATTTTATATAATAGTGAATAGTATTATTCGTGAATTAGTCCCATTGCAGAAGTCATATAAAAGTGCATATCCTTGTTGGTACAGTAAGAATTTGATTATGCTGTTAAAAGAGAAAGAAAAATGCAGGCGTATTATGAAAAAATACAATAACAAACGTGACGAATATGAGTATACCATACTTAAAGATAGAACCAATAAAATTATTAAGTCTTTATACTATAAGTATATAGAAAACGTCCAAAAAAATCTAACACAGGACCCTAAATTCTTCTGGAAATATATTAAGGATAAATGTAATAATCAGTCTATGATCCCCAGGCAAATGACGCTCAGTAATCAAACTGCAAACGATGGAAAAAGTATTGCTAACTTATTTGCAAAACACTTCGCATCAGTATACAGCCCAAAATCGAGTAACAGTCAGTTTTCACCTCCATACGAGTATATCTCCTGTAACAACAACTTACATCAGTTGTATATTTCTGAAAGTAGTATCGAAAAAAAACTGAAAAAGCTGGATACATCTAAAGGATCGGGATGTGATGGGATACCACCTCTGTTCTATAAGGAATGTGCCGATCAGTTGACAAAGCCTCATCATATTCTTTATAATAGATCCCTGTCTGAAGGAACATTCCCGGAACATTGGAAGGAGGCCATAGTTGTACCTATACCCAAATCTGGCAACAAAACCGATGTTAGTAATTACAGGCCAATAAGCAAACTACCTATAGTAGCTAAGGTGTTTGAATCTTTAGTGTGTCCTTTTATAAGTTGGCACATTAAGAATATAGTTTCTGAAAATCAGCATGGTTTCATCAAAAATAAATCCACTTTGACTAACTTGGTTGACTTTGTTGAAAATACTTTGACCGATATTAGTAAGGGCCATGAGGTTGATGCAATTTATAGTGACTTCTGCAAGGCTTTCGATAAAGTAGATCATAACATATTACTTCATAAGCTCTCTATTATATTTAATATTCATGGATCTCTCTGGAGTTGGCTAAAAACATACTTGGTAAATCGCAGAGCTAAAGTTATTGTGAATGGGTACTCATCTAACATTTTTATGCCTTCGTCTGGCGTTCCCCAAGGGTCCCATCTCGGCCCAGTACTGTTTACAATATTTATAGATGATGTAAAATATTGTTTTGTCAATTCATGCTTCCAAATGTATGCCGATGACCTAAAACTGTTTAGAATAGTTAAATCTAAATCTGACCAGGCTCTTCTGCAAGAGGATATTGACAGACTTTGCCACTGGTGTGATAATAATGCCATGGAATTGAATATCAGTAAATGCAATCACATAAAGTTTTCACGAAAACGCCAAAAGTTCGATACCGCTTATAACATGAATGGCAAGAATTTGAGAAGCGTCAATAAGATCAAGGATTTGGGTATCACGGTTGACTCTGAAATGAGGTTTTTTAAACATGTAGACAACACAATCAACAAATGTAATAAAATGGTAGCATTCATAAATCGTAATACTCGACAATTCAAATGTATAAAAGCTCTAAAAACCTTATATTACGCTCTAGTACGCAGTAATGTAGAGTATTGCTCTATTGTGTGGTATCCTATATATCAAAACAATATCCAACGCATTGAAAGTATACAAAAAAAGTTTGTGAGGAGGCTGTCTGTTGCATGTGGTATTCGGCATGCTGTCAAGGATTATAATCAGAGGCTTAATTATTTCAATATGAAACCATTGTATTGGAGGAGAGACTACCTGGGTTTACTGTTTCTACATAAGTTATATAATCATGGGGTAGATTGTACGCCATTAATATCCAAAATAAATATTAACATACCCAGACCCTCTGCTAGATTAGTAAATTATAAGCCGTTTGTAATTAAAACTAGTCGTAACAATTATGGGAGCAACACACCTCTGTCCTATATCCTCGGCAAATATAACGCTGTTTGTAATAAAATAGACATAGACATTTTCTCCGAAAAAACAGTTACATTTAAAAAAACAATATATAGTATAGTATTATAGTAAGTTAGTTGATTGTGTTATGCTTTTGCTTTAGTTTTTTATCTAACCATAATTTTTTTGTTAACGTAGATTAAATTTTGAAACCTATATGTATGTACACTTATGGAAAATGCTGTGCTCACCTTTAATTTAAAAGCATACACATATATTTTACTTGTATGAATGTTTTCTTGTGAAATATCTAGTATGTATTTTAGTTGGTAAGCCTTATGTTAAATAAATAAATAAATAAATAAATAAATAAATATTCGTGCACCATGAGTATAGGAAAATTGGCTGCTTGACTATCGATTCGATGATTCTGCCGTCTCATTAAGAAGAAGGTTGTGTACTTTCTTTTTAAATACGGAACGGTTTGTGGACATCCTGACTTCAACCGGGAGCGCATTTCAGAGTAGAACTGCTTGAACGAAGAACGAAGAGTTCAAGAAGTCAGAAGAGAGCATAAGAGAAGCAAATTATTTTGCAGAGCGAAGATTCCTGTCGATTTTGTATTAGTATAATTTTTATTAAATTTATTTTGCTAACTATTTGACAAAGGAGAGATTGTTGCTATTGTGTGTGCTGACTGTGTGGTGACGGATTAAGAATATAGAGTTTCACCACCCCTATTCATCCCGTGGGTGTCCTAAGATCCGACTAAGCGAAAAAACTACGCAGAACAATAGCACTGCAGAGAGAAGTAAAACTTGACACAAACCCTTTTTTTTTTAACGTGTGGAAACCCCCTCGGGCCGTTACCCCACCGGGGTTTACGGCGGGGTGGTGTGTCGAAATAGGACCGACTAAAACCACACGATGTGCCACTCTGCGCCTGTAATAGGAGGGATCCGGGAACTGCTGTTATTAGGACCTCCGGACCCCTCCTAGCGCCTGCCCGGCGGGCACCACCTACAGGTACATTCTCTATTTAGGCGACGTCCGGCACATGCGGACGTCGCCTCCTCGCGGCTGGCCGTTATGGCAGGTGGAGGGGAAAACCCGTCCCGTCCGAGGCGGTGATAAGCGCGCCTCCGCCGCCCGGTTCGCCGGCGACGCATTGGGTCCGAGTGGAGGCTGTCCTCCCGGGCCCCCTCCGCCGCCTCCTTCTGCGACATGACGTCTTAGCAGAAGGATGCGACGGCGGTAAAACATCTGTCGCTACCGGCCATGGAGCGTATGACGGCCGGTAGCGAGAGACCCCCCCCGATGACTGCAATGAGGACCCGGCGCTGCGGCGCCCAAGCCGGGGCAAATTGCCAGCGTGTGCTGAGCCGAGTCCTCACTGCAATCGCAGTGGTGACAGGCGGGACTCAATTCCCTCCTAGCGACCGAGTGCAGGTACTTCCCGAAGCCGCCATGCCCGGAAAGGACCTGCGTCAGCCGGAAGGAAAGGGTCCCGTGCTGCCGCCCTGCCCACTCGACGATGACCGGCTGGAGCGCCTCCACGGCTGCAAAGCCAGAACGTGGAGCCTCCAGCCGGGACGACCAACAAGCCATCGTGGCTCGGCGAGCGGCCTCACGCCCCTCGCTCCTCTAAATAGTCTGCCACTAGCCGCCTCAGGTACTTGGGCACCCCATGAAAGTGTAGTGCTTCCCTGATGCAGCTGAATGGCAGACTATTGAATGTGTGGATGAAATGAAATTGAATGAAACAGCACGCCGCCACAGCTCACCGCCTCTTCGGTCACGGCCCTCAGGCGTAGCACAGCGCCCACCGTCGAACGCCCCACTCGAAAACCGAATTGGGCGTCCGACAGGTCCGGGCCCACCTCGTAGAGGTGGCGGACGATGCGGGCAGAGAGCACCCTCTCAAACAATTTACCCGTCTCGTCCAGCAACACAACGGGCCTGTAGGCCGCGACCGAATCGGCAGGCCGTCCCAGCTTCCTCAATAGGACCAGCTTCCCGCTCTTCTAGCACTCAGGAAAACGTCCGGATACCAAGCTAGCGTCGAACACCTCCCTGAGACGGTCGGACATGTGGTGAACTTGACACAAACCCTATACCAACCCGTCTGGCCAGCGCGGTATAGTAGGCCAAAACCTCCTTTCTAAGGAGAGGCTTATGTCCAGCAGTGGGCTATTAAAGGCTGTTGATGATGATGATGATGATGTGTGTGCTGATCTATGACTTTATAGTCCACATAAAAACGATATCAAACAATATTCAAAATTGTTTGAAAAAAAATTGAGTTTGAGTTTTGTATCTTTCTTGATATACTTAGATGATATAAGATATTAAAATATAGATTTTTTCAAATATCGATTTAGCTTACTTTTACATTTTTTGTTTATAATATAAGTTTTTATGCTTAGTTCATGTTTGAAATAAAATACAAAAGAACTGTAGATTTATTCAACGATTTTAAATATTTGTGAAAGCAGTCGATCAACTATCGAAATGACAGTCCACACACACTTTAGGTTGCTAAATGTGTAAGTAAACCTATTATTTTTTTATATTTATAAATAGTCAGTCAGGCAGAAATCATTTAAAATTTTATCTATATGGCCGTGAAATTCAAGCTCGTCTGATAAGTTTGGGACGTCACTTATAATGCATATATTTTTTTTCATTTTGTAATGTTTTTTGTGTTCTACATTTTAGTACTAATAAATCATGTTTCTAATTCAGAAAGCTTTACTTTGAAAAGATTTAGTGACGATAGTAAACATGTCGATTATCATGCACAAGGTAAATTCCAGTGTAAACATATGCATGTAAAAAAATATTTATACATATATATACTCTCTGTTTACATTCGTTTAAATTTACAGATGTTGGCAATACCATTCGGAATACAAGTCCTGAGCTCGTATCTAAGGTTAGTGAATATAGAAGAATTGCAAGAAATCCAAATTTGAAAGTAAATCTCATAGACAAACAATTGTCAGACGAAATGTTATCATTAAAGCAAAATATTTACGGAAGAGACGCGCTACGTAGTTCTAGAAAGTTTGTAAGTACTCTTAGTCCTATAGTAACTCCTACAATACTTAATCACCAATTGCCTAACTCAGAAGGTATCGATGAACTTGAAAGTGAAGACAACGGATATAACGAATTAGATTTCAGCCATTTGCTCCCAGAGAGTTTGGATAAGAAAACTTTGAGGACTGAAGATTTCTTAGAACATGAAGAAAATGTTGAGGAAAGCCTTGCGAACCAACAAAATCGCTTAGAAGATAAAATTGTCGATTTAAGAAGCTTGTCGCATCATATAAAAATACCAGATATTAATGAACTTCAGGGTGTTTCTAAGCATAACTGCAGTTGTAGTCGACACGCGACCTTTTCCCATGGGTCACAAAGTACATATTCTCAAAGACCTAATGGGTATATAGGAACTACTCTATCTTATCCATTCATGCCAATCTACCTACCATCATACCAACATTACTTCCATTACCTTCCGAGTTTTGTTATGGATTACACTGAGCCCGCCCTAAATTATGTTTATGATGATGATAATAATGATGATGGTGTTGAATCTAACAGTGAAGAAGAAGAAGATCACACACATTCTGCAAAACCAACAAAGAGGAGGAAGAAAAAAAATAAATGTAGAGCTGAACAAGAAAACTTATTTAAAATCGAATATGATTTATTACCTCGTCCAACGACTATTAAAGAAAGAACTACGGTCGAGGATAATAAATCGAAATCAAAACAATTATTGTCAGATATACTAACGGGTTTATCACTTGGGTGTAAGTTTCAAAACTGTCCTTATTCTTTGTACTTTAATTTTACCTCTTGTATGTTACCCCATAGAGTACTATTATTGTTATTATTTGTGGGTGGTCGTTTATATAATTTTATTTCATAATAAAACCTTAATAAACACTATGAAAATTATTAATTATAATTACATAATAGATATTCTACTAATAGCCTATCGAGTCTTATTGCAGCTCATTCTTTCATGAAAGCTTTTGTGATGAAACATACATGCATGTACTTATGGCTGTTACAAGCACGCAAAAATATATTTGAATCAAAACGAAAATATACTTTAAAACCCTGCAAAAATCATCAAGACTGTTCACTTTCGCCAAGTAGACGAGCTTTTACCTTGAAAATTTGCATTTTGCAGTTCTAGCAGTTCAAAAACTAGCCAGAAAGAAAGTAATAAAATGAAAAAAGACTTCATCGAAACGCTTTTGAAGCATATAAATTATAACCACACAGACATATAACCTGTTTGACCACAAATCTATACACATGCTTGTAACGAAACATACAACACTCGACTGTATTAACATTTTTCTTTGATTTTACTCTTATTTCCTTTAAGTACTTATAAGAGTAGAGTGAGTGTGCCACGTAAGGCCCGGTCCAACAATGTGGACCACTTACCTTCCTCACAGAATTTTTGTAATATTGAGTAGACGCTCAGTATAAACTCACCTCCTGTTATTTAGCTTAGTATGTATGTTCATCTCTTCAAGAAATTTAACTGGATCTGCAAGTGGATAAAATCATATCGTGGAAAGATAAATATTTAAACATTTTTGATATTCATTTCTATGCTATATCCTATATAAAATATCCTACAATTTGTAAACAGCTATATTGGCGATTGCACAGATACGAGTTCTACAGTATGATGTATTCGTTTTAGATTAGAGGTTCATATTATAAACTCTCTCTTGTATATATTATACTAGCTGACAATGCAAACGTTGTTTTGCTATTTACATTATTAAAATATGTTTTTTTTTTAATTTCTTAAAATCCGTTCTTAGCTGACCTCTACTCGGTGAAAAGAATATTCCCACCAAATTTCAAGTCTTTAGCTCTAATGGTTATAGAGATATCGTGATGAGTGACTATATACGTGGAAATCTCTTATATATTTGTATATAGATTATTTTTTTGTGTTTCAAGATAGCACCCGCCAAAAAGAGGACAAGAAAAATGTGAGATAAAATCTGTCAAATGGAAAAAAAACTAAATAAAATAGAAAAAAGCTCATCTTCTAAATTATGACTCTCTATGTAGCCGCTTTTTGCCTAAAATACAATGAGATTAAAATTATTACGTGCGTACTGCACCCGCACAACCAATTAACGTCCTGGGGAGTTTCGGACGGATGGAAGTGTCTCCTCCAAAGTGAATACCCCCAGGCACACCCACACAGCACACACACAGAGGTCTGGACCGATGGCCAAACGTTGGTCGCCAATTTTGTACCCGCTTTTCTTCTCAGGCGGACTACTCACCGGCTGACCCAGTGGAGAGATTTATGAGATTACCTCAGGGCGCCTTCTAAGGGAACAGAAGTGTGTGCGTGTGGGAAACCTACGGGATTCCTTAGAGGAAAACAACTTACGCCTCAGTCATACATACATATATATTTCAAAAACAAAATTAAAGTTACAATAGAAAAAATAAACAAATTAATCAGTGGGTACGTACGTAACTCTTGGGTACGGCTGTCCGCTTGTTTCGTGAGCCGCGTGACTGCCAGCTTGCCAGAGGGTACCGAGAAACTTGAATTCGAACCAGAAGGCCACAAACGAACAAGCACGCCGTCTGAGACTGACCGTCTTGACCACGAAATCTGGGACCCTACGAATGGATTAGCACTCATATTATTGATCAGGTTCCAGAAACAAATAGGTTCAAGAAAAATTAACCAAGAAAAAATTAAAAGACCATACTCACCACTTTCGTGGGTACTTTTGAAGAGATAATACATTACGAAAATCAAATCACACGACAATCAAAACACTATTTAAGATTGGAAGACACGAGATAGCAGAGTGTCTCCCGTGGCTGAAAGCCGGACTTATATATGTTCAGTTTCCGAAGTTTCCAGAAATAATCTCTTCTTAACATTTTACTTTGACATTTAAATTATCAACGAGGTTAACACGAACAAAATCAAAAGTAACTCGCTTCCTACCATAACAAAACACTCTTAATACCTATACAATTTGTCATGATAAATTAATAAAAAGACATCTCAAACAAACCCATCTAGTGGTCCGACGGCGAATCGAAGAACATCAATACTGTAGTTATAAACTACTTTAGATAAATCAACAAATGCGAGGGGGGGGGGGGGGGGGGGGGGCAATAGATGTCGCTTTTGGCAACTCCGTACGCAATATAAATATACTAAAAAATAACTGTTACATCTATTGATTTGATTTGAGAACCCACATTAGGAATATATCCTGTGTCGCCGGGGACTGTAAAAACATAGATAAAACGGACTCCAAGAACATCCAAACTCAGAACAACAATTTGTGGATCACACAAAATATCCCGTGTGGTGATCGAACCCACAACGCACAGCGCAGGAGGTGGCGTAGCGACCGCTTAAATCACCAACCCAATACGTGCAGTAAATTAATCTGAATTTCCTTTGAACTCCATTTCCTCTGAATTGCCATTTCTATAAGTTAACCACTAGTGTTTTATGTAGTCAGAAAACCTGTACTGAATACCTCCTTATTGTAAATCTTTTCAGTAGAGAGCTTATAAAGGTCAGTCTGACTCAGTACAGGGGAGCTAAGGTTCAAAGGACAAACAAGCTCACCAAGTGAATATTTTGACCGTAAATGGCTTTGAGATATAGTACTTCAAAATCTTGAATACGAATTTCGTCTTTGTTAGTTTTATGAGAACTCTAAAATAAGTTCTCATATTTTTCGTACTTACATTACGTACCATACATTTATATTGGTTTTATTTTATGTATAAAAACGAGTAAAACTAGTTTTTGCTTGCGACTTCGCGCGCATAAAAGTGATTCTTCTTTCCCTGGAGAACTTAACTCTTTGGATATAAACTACTATAATAACCAAGTGTAATAACTTTACACATCTTACACATATAACATGACAGTCTGATCCCAAACTAGGCAGAGCCTGTACTATGGTAAGTAGACTTCTGATAAACATGTTTATTTATTTAAAAATTTATACATATTATAGATGAATTACAATCTCGGTTAATAGTACGTATTATATATATATCTGTGTGCGTGACAAACTACATATTAGCACGGTACAATTATAATACAGTACTCCAACTTCATACAAACGGACGAAACGCGAGCTATACCTACGCGCCTCGATCTCGGGGTGCGCTCGGGGCGCAGACAGTCACGGCTGTACCGCAGTGTCAAACGGACGGTGTGTTGTTTTTTTAACAATAACCGCGCGATTTTTTCTCTAAAAATCAGTTAATATGACGAGTAGGAAATATTATGCTGTTTTTGGTTGTATGAATTCGTCAATAACGCATCCAGACTTAAGTTTTTTTAAATTACCTGGAAACTCTGAAAGGTAAGACTATAAAATAATTTTACTTACTAGTAGGGAGGTACATAATGTGTGTCTTTTTAATGGATAAGTATTTCCTTTTATCTCACGAAAAAAAAAGTGTTTGGATTAATAAATAAAGCGAATAGAGTAACGGAAAGTTACTGAGACGAGTGAAATAGGTAGTTATATGCGGTTCTGAATGAATCATGTCATCATCATCATCATCTACATACGCTTGTGTTAAAACTTCGGTGCATGTGTGTTTTGCTACTTTGCATAATTCAAAGTAGAGACGTGGTATTTTATTATTAATAATATTTGTTTATTTTCTGTGTGTATGAATAATATTAGAAAAAAAAATTTACCGTCTGTGTGTCATTAGATAGTTTTCGAAATTTTCACAAAGTGTTTCTGCTGCTACTATAACAACATATACCACTAAAAACTGGTTTTATTTTCTCGGTATTAACAACAACAGTTAGACTCATATATATAATATTTAGATGTTTGAGGGTTGTGATTTTAAAACATTTGTAGTCAGCTGTTCAGCTTTCTAAAAATTAATTAATTGGTGACCAAAGAATTTTTGTTTTGAGTTGTTGCGAGTTGTAGGTAGGAACCTAATTTATAGAGACGTTAATAAGCTGAGCTAAAAATTTACTTACTCGTCAGCTGTTTCTTGCATTCTAGTTGAGTAGGTAGGTTTTGGAGTTTCTAAGGATTTGAGTTTTGTAACGCGTAAGGAGAAAGCACATTTTTTTATTCTATAGAAGGATTTTTAAGCTATTGCATAGCTTTTATCGCGGGAACTGAGCGCGGCGCGGCGCGGTGACCGAATCAAGAAACTCTCAAAACTTACCGAAAAATACCTGACACCACGCAGATTTTTTTCTTTAAAAAAAAAATGTTATGCAATAGCTTTACCGCGGCAGTCTCCGAGAGTGCCACATGTATTTTTTTTTTCAGACGTCTTCAATGGTTGCTACTGATCCGGCGAGATGATTTGGAAAACAAACCTAACTTTAGTTCCTAGCAAGTTTGTGAAAAACATTTTAATTTGGAGGATGTATTACATTCATCAAATAGAAAACTTTTAAAAAAGAATGCCCTACCATTGTTGATGCTGCCAAGCTTAGCTAGTACTGATCCAGGAGTCTCTCTAATAGAAGATAAACAAACCCAAACTGCTCCGTTGGTAGGAAATGAAAATAGTACACAGACTGAAAATGCAACAAATGAAATCTTTGCTCAAATCTCAACGAGTCTCTCTAGAAACACTCCAAGAAAAAGAAAATTGAAACTTGAACTCCTCCAATGCAGAAAGAAAATAAAATAATTAAATGTAATAATCAAAAAACAACACGCATTTTTATTGAACACTTCCTATTCAATATACAAAGTATTTCGTTTATTTATATAAAAATATATAAGTTATTTTATTAGATATTTACAATCACAAATCTAAATAGAAACAGAAAGTAGGCAAATATAATTAAAATGCTGGAGACGGACAGCCCTAACGCATGTTTACGTACCGCGTGGCTGTAGGCATTTATTTCTATCATGCGGCCGAGTTACACTACTGTATTATAATTGTACCGTGATATTAGTGTGTGACACATAGCTTAACGTCTAATTCAATTATATGAAGTCAGTTCTATCTATTTATTTATCTTACTATTTAATAAGAGAAACGTTATTTATATACGACTGCTGAGAAAAGAAGTGGAGTTTTACAGGATTTATGTGAGTTTATATATTCCACAATAGTTAAAATCCTTACATCCAACTGACAATGCCTGTAAATATTTTGAAAGAAAAAATTGGCGCAGCTTACAAGAAAGTATTCAACACATTTTT